CCTGCCCGTCTGCCACAGCATCTACTACTAGCATGCTTCCTGCCCGTCTGCCACCGCATCTACTACTAGCATGCTCCCTGTGCCCGTCTGCCACCGCATATACTACTAGCGTGCTCCCCACCTCCCCACCAGCAGGTCCTGTACTACTGTCGGTGAGGTCGCCCCGTCCCTGAAAGATGAGCACTGCTCTTTGTGCTTTCTCTCTGTCTGACGTGGCAGACATACTGAAGGCCAATCACATGCGGGGCTCTTTCCACCAACCTCCTATTTGCAGCTCCGGACACCCCATGCGTCTCATCTGCGTGCTGACAGACTCGATCTCGCGTACCAGTGGCACTAGGATGGTTTCATTGATCCACTAGGGAGAAAGGAGAAGTTGCATATGTGACTCCAAAGGGGGTCTCCAAGAATTGCAATATTTACAGGGAACTCTTGGGGGACAGTTTTGATATCAGGTCCTTGAAGTATTGACAGGAGTCGTCAAGCAGTGAAGAGGACGACAGCAGCTGCCGAAGCAGCGTGCATTCAGTACGCATGCAGCAGAACGCAAGCTCATGAAGCCACAGGGCTTCGTCATCAGTGCCTGTTTTGGCCGAAGGAAATGCCTTTCAGCTGTAAAGTTTTTCTCCCATCTTTCTCTGATCATCATGCTTAGCTGAACAAGCAGGTCGTCTCTGGAGTACACTTCTAGGGCGCATTATTTATTATGCCCACTGGTTTTGCACATGAACATGATTCAGATTCTCCATTGGTTCACCCAATTCCCCAACGCCCTGGCAAACAAAGATTCATTCAATTTGTAACTGGTCTGTGGATGACTCTGGGCGAAGGACCCGAGCGAGGACATTTTCAATCCCATCCTGTGCACGTGCAAGCTGCGCATGAACAAGGGGGGGGGGTCACAGAACGGATGCACGTGCGTTACGGTGCTGGCCAAGAACATGCCAAGCACCACGGACTTCCAGAAGAACAAACAAATTGACGTTGGAGCAGGTCAGCCAGAGTGCTCGTAGAAGCAAGGATGGTGAGCGTTTGCCTCATGCACTTCAGACAGATCGTCAGGGGAGCACAGTCCCTGGAAAAGGGGGGCTGCTGGGTAAAGGGAGCGGCAGTGAACAAGAGGAAGGCCTCTACAAGACGGACGCACACAGCGGCTGCAACAGTGGAGCAATGATGAGGATGCCCGGACCGGGAGCGTCCCCTTCTGTTGGACGGTGGGTTGCTCAGTGTCGGAACAGACTCAGCAGTCCCCAGGGACCTAACACCAGCTAACAAGACTGCCATGGGTGACTTTCCACTGAGTTGGGGGGAGGGTGTGTGTGCATGCACATAGGCATGAGCAATCACCCACACTGATTGAGTGCCTCCTATCTGCCAGCCATTCTTTGGCTCCAACAGATTTCCTGAAGGCATCAGGAGCGAGGAAGTCTAGATTCATCTCCAGAGATGCTGCTTGAGTATTTCTGGGGTTGGACCTATGAACTTTTATTCTTTAAAAGCTATATAGGCTTGTGGTTCACTGGTATGTCAATAATATAAAAGGAGAGGAGTGACTTTAGTGAGTGTCTACAGGACATTGAGTGGTGGGTGAGTGCTGGACGCTGGAACAGCAGAGCAGTGGCTTAGACTGGAGAGCGCGGCAGTGCAGGACAAAGGCCAGCAGAACCTGGGCCGGCCGGCCGGCCACCCACCCATCCATCCATCCATCCATCCATCCATCCATCCATCCATCCATCCATCCATCCATCCATCCATCCACAGAGGAGGCTGGAGACACAGAACTAACACAGGCTACATGTGAAAGGGCTGACTAGGCCAGAGAGTAGAGGATTCTTCTCTAGAACTATCCAGCACATTGTCTAGTCTGAAGTAGCTCCAAGCACACACTAGCCCTTTATGGTTTTGGAACGCAAGAACTTCCTTTTTCTCTCTCTTACAAGTCTAGGCACATGGCAGGCTGTTTCAGAAAAGTGCTTTGAAAAATAAGATGGAGACGTTGGGAAAGGGGAGAAACTATCATTCTTTTCTTTTTCCTTTTTTTCGTAGCTTGGGTGAAAGTTCACAGGGCAAATTAATTTTCCAGTCCAGTTTCTACATGTTTGGGTTCATGACTCTGGTTGCCACCTGACACAGCAGCACCCTTCCCACTTCCTCTCTGGGGCTCCTTCCAATTCGCCCTCTTCTGCGCCTTCTTGCCTTCAGAGTTGTGGTTTGAGGCACCTGCTGTCCTTTTAGAGCAGCGGTTCTCAAACTGTGGGTCGCGACCCCTGGGGGGGTCCAACATCCCTTTCACAGGGTTGCCTGACTCATAACAGTAGCAAAATACAGTGATGAAGTAGCAATGAAAATAATGTTATGGTTGGGGGGAGGGGGGGTCACGACATGAGGAACTGTATGAAAGGGTTGTGGCATTAGGAAGGTTGAGAACCAGTTTTAGAGTCATATGGTTGACTGTGCTGGGGATTACGTTAGGGAGGAAACTCTTAATAAACATTCTCCCAAAATAAACTGATTTACTAAATATGGAGGACAAAAATTCCTGTAAAGATGGATCCCATGAGGTGTCATGTTGAGCGTGACATACGTAGCCTTCACACTCTAGTAATAACGGACTCTGCTTTTCCAGCTAAGAACACCTCCAATATCCTGTTCAGTTTGCATATGAAGAGGCAATGGTATTTATCCAACACGTACTGTCAGAACTTACATTCCTGAACTTAGCTGTCCATGAATCCATGTGATCAAGAAGCTGTCTGTTCATGGTCACTCTTGCCCAAACCTATGAAACACACATGTTCAAAACGAGTCACAAGTGAGGAAAACACCTTGCCATGACCAGTCATTCTTCCTCCCACCCCCCCCAAAATACTTGATGAATTTCAGGGAAAAAACAAAACAGAAAACAAATCTTCTGTAAATATCTATATCCATCTAGTTAAAACATAATCATTTTCTTATTATCTAGTTGCTCTTCAGCACAGACGTCTTTTACGAGTTCCTTGCGCTGGTATGTTTAAACAGCATGCTTCTTGCTTTTATACGAAAATGGAAAAACCTACATCTGGCATTGAAGTGCTGAAGCTACAGACTGCCCAGTGCTGTCACCCAGCCGCATCTCCAGAGCAAGGAGCATGTATATGTTTTATCACAATTGGATGCTTGACAGCCTTTGTAGAATGGGTGCAGAAAACGGTGTGGGGCAGGGCACTCAAGTTGGTGATGTGCCACGCAGAGCGAAACAGTCTAATTCAGCAGTAGGCGCTGAAAGCAAGACAGGAGCCCTTCCCTTGGGACTGCGGGCCAAATCCATGCTTCTCTACAGCAAAAGCGGAGGTTTGGGAAAGAGAAGAAACAAAAGTTCTCGTGGAGACGCTCTGCCAAGCATCTGGAAATCATAAATAGTACCGATCGCGGTCATTTTCCACTGACCTCTTCTGCAGCTTGTTTAGAGCTGAGGTCAGCTTCGTCTTTGTTAGCACACGGGGCCTGGGACCGACAGGCGAGCTGATACTGAAACTTCTTTAAGGTCTGGGCGTAGTCCCCCACAGACCGGCTGTAGTTCCAGAAGGTAGGGCTGGTCACAGGGGAGGTAGAATCGGGGCTCCCTGAAAGGGTTAATTCAAACAGTATTAGTCCATATGATTCAACTGTTGAGTTGTATGATTTGTGAACTATATGCCAATAAAACGGTTTTTAAAAACAGCAGCAACAACAGAGAGGTATCAGTCTGTGCTACGAATCGTCCCAACCTGGGTGCTAACAGGAAAAAGAACATTCTGGGAGCAGCCGCAGGAACCACAGAGCCCAGAGAACCACCCGAGTCTGCTGACTTTCACTCTGGTCATGAAGCTCGCTTCCTCCACGAACCCTGGACAGAAACAGCAGTAGTAATTGGGCCCCTGCCCTGCCTTCCACTGTCCATTTTATTTGGCCTTTAGTACAAGAAGCAAGTCCCCAGTGGGATTCCTATGTCTGTGGAAGAGGACATTGTCTTGGCAGTCAGTGACCAAGAGGAGGCCTGTCAACGAGATGGACTGACACCGTGGCTGCCAACGATGGGCTCAAACAGGATGACGGTGAGGATGCTGCAGGACTGGCAGGTTTCCTTCTGTTGAGGCCACTATGAGTCTGTATCGACTTCAAGGTGCCTAACATCAGTGGGGATACTATAAAAGACCCAACCATTCGAGAGAAGCAAACCTCTTCAGGAATAAATGGGCTAAGTTTCTGGGCGCTCCTTTGGAATGTGACAAACTCCAAACTTACTGCCATCACGTCGACGCTAACCCACAGTGACCCTATAGGTCAGGGCAGAACTGCCACTCTGAGTTTCTGAGGCTGTAGCTCTTTACGGGATTCTTTCTTTCATGGAACGGCTGGTGGTGTTGAACTGCTGACTTTGTAGTCAGCAGCCCAATGCATTAACTCCCTGGGCTATAAGCTCACCTTGTCCCGGCACCACACTGTACTCCTTATTGGTCTGTAGTGATCCTAGAAGGTGCCTTGGTGGCACTTCGGCAGCTAACTACGAGGTCAGCGGTTCAAACCCATCGGTTGATCTGTGGGAGAAATAGGCTTTCTTCTCCTGAGATTAGCAATCTTGAAAACGCACAGGGGCAGTTCTACCTTGGACTATAGGATCCTTCTAATTCGGAACTGACTCTATGACCGTGCGTTTGTTTGTGTCTGAGGGTCCTGGGGGTGCTCCCGGATAAGCCTTGAACTGCTAACTTCCAAGTTGGCTGCGCACATCCACTAAGCACTCAGCCGGGGAACGAGGCTGTCTGCTCCCACACAGGTGGACGGAACACGGTTGCTCTGAACAGGAATCCTGAGAGCCTAGTGATCTCTACGCTGTATTGAAATTCTCTCTGCTGGCCACACACCTTGAATTTAGAAATGGACATTTAGGAAATTTTATATTTTTATAAGGCTACATTTAGGAAGTTCCTCCAACAGAGGCCTCTCTCCCACCACAGACCATCTTGAAAGTTATGGTTTCGAAGTTTTCTCAGACCACATTAAGCCCTGAGAGGGCAAGGAACTTTCCCCCCTGCTATCTAGCACAGTACCTGATAAATAGCACATTTCCAATGGGAACCATATTATTCTTGTGAATGGCTTAATATTCTTAGGAATGGCTTAAATGATTTTTTTCAGAGTTTAAGTGATACACAAAATGTCAATTGCTACTTCGCACCCACATACAAAAATTACAAATGGAGATGAATTTTTTTTCAATCTTAGGAGCGTTTTAAAAGAAGTGACTGAAAAATAAATTGGTTCTCTTGTGATGCTTCCAGGCACAAAGGATGAGGCCGCATGAAGGGCTCTGAGCCCTTCAGTTCACCGCGCCGACGCCCTGAAGGTCGGCCTGCCTGGCGCTGGGAGCGTGGCGAAGAGCAGCGGTTTTTCAGGCCAGCACGAGAAGAAACAATTGTGCAAAGAACTGCCATACTTCATGTGAAGTTACGCTTTCCAAGCAGGACTTCTGACAAAACCGAATAAAAGAAGTTTTAAACCAAGGCAAAAGAATTCCGAGCGAAGGAATAAGCCAGGGAGGCTGGAGCCTTGGCCAGGACAGAGCCCAGGACACTACAACTACCCTGTCCACGAACTTTAAGAAACATCTTCATGCTTCGAGAGAAAACTAGACCCAAGAAACAGGCCGATGAAGACTGGTACCTTACTATCCGCTGTATGTGCGTCAGGGGACATGAACGAGGCCATTCACACGGGGTGCAAGCTCACGGAGGGCGACTTGGGGGCCTCGGAGAGCCTGGTTTCTCACTCGAGGAGCACGCAGGAGGCGAGGGCAAGTCGGCTGAGGCTGGACTGGACTTGAGCTGTCAGCCCGAACCCCAGCTTTAGAATGCAGAAGCCAAACTGCCTGCCACCGGGTCGATGCCGTCTCCTAGCGACCCTACAGGACAGGGTAGAACCGCCCCTATAGGACAGTAGAGCTGCCCCTACAGCACAGGGTAGAGTCGCCCCCATAGGACAGGGTAGAGCTGCCCCTGTGGTTTCTAAAGCAACAAATCTTCAAGGGAGCACAAAGTCTCATCTTTCTCCTGCGGAGGGGCTTGTGGGTTTGAACTGCTGATCTTGCGCTTGGCAGCCCCCAGGGTTCCTCTGCTAATCTATCCAGATGGATAAATAAGGAAATATGTACAGATGCATGTGTGCATCTACCCTGTGGGTGTCTGATGGGAGGACCTAGAAGGAGTGACATCCAGTAACACGGCACTCCAAACCCAGCTATTCATTTCCAATATCATCTCGGAAAGGTTAACAGTAAAGGGACTGGGGGAGGGGGGAGGGAAGCTGAAAAAAACAGGTTAGACCAGTGGTTCTCAACCTTCCTAGTGCCGCGGCCCTTTCATGCAGTTCCTCATGCGGTGGTGACCCCCAACCATAACATTATTTTCGTTGCTACTTCCTAACTGTAATTTTGCTGCTGTGATGCATCGGGTGACCCCTGCGAAAGGGTTATTTGACTCCTCAAAGGGGTCGCAACTCACAGGTTGACAACCGCTGGTTTAGACTCTTGCCAGGTATTAACTTGAATGTAACAGAAGACAGTTGTCCAACAAGAGGGAAAAGGGGATTTGATTAGTAGTTTAAAGTGTTAAATACAAAGTTGATCTGAAATGTGAACCTTTACCTAGTTTACAATGGAAAAAAAATTATACATATATATATACACACACATACACACACACAGAGATACATATATATATATATATGGATGGATTAGCCAAATGAAAATGAGGATACTTGTGTTAATGTCAGGCAAAATAGACTTTATGACATAAAACCTAAGAGATTTAAAAAAAAAGGATCCTTAGGTCAGTATGAAAGGAATTATTCACCAGAACGATAAGTCTGAACTTATATGGCTGCAATGTAATGTCACCTATACTCATTATTTAGCAAGTCTGACAGAAGGCAACGTCTCATTACAGATGATCAGTGCAAGTTTCTAACATACTCTTAGCACTGGATGGAACAGGTGGATAAAAATGAGTCCGGTAAGGAACTTGCCATCAAGAAGTCTGATTCACTGTACCGCTATGGGGCCCGATGGGAGCATGCATACACTTTTCAATGCACCAGGAGCCAGGCACTGAAAGTGCTCATGTAACAGGCCTGAGAGCAGCAGGTCAAAAGTTACCCTCACAGGGCAATACAGAGGTAACCAGGCCTCTCCAGACCTTTGGACGCGAAAAGCAGCACTTAGAAGCTTCCAGACAAGAGGAGCACCGTGGGCCAGTGTAAGACAGAAAAAGAGAAACCAGAAGCTCTCTGGACGTGGCGAAGACAAGGAGCGGCTGAGGCGGGCTGTCCTCTCTAGCCCGCCCTGGATCTCTGGGCAGACTCGAAACACGGCAACATGTTCCAGGGGCAGGGGGCAGAGAGCACGTACGGAAAATCACAAAGATGATATGGATTCGTTCCTGTGATGCACACGGCGCTCTCAGGCAAAATTCAATTAAAAGTCGCTGGAGATTTCAGGCAACACAAAAGAGCTACGGTCCAATAACTGGCTTCCTCACCACAAGCCCCGCTTTCGCACCTAACCTGCTCTCAGGGGACGCTGTCCCCGAGGGGAAAATCATTACGCAGCTCAATAACCTAATTTGGTTTCTAATAATCAAATCCACCCACACAGATTTAAGATTGGGCAGACACTGCTTGCCAAGGTAAACGCAGCCCTGGAGGATTTACTAAGTGACAAATAGGCCCAGCTCGGAAAGCCCGCAGCACTTCCGAGGGAGACTCAGGCTCTCTGGTGTGTGCCCACCCAGCACTGGCCTACCGCTCCAAACACGGCATTGCAGAGCCAGGCGTTTAAGGAGAAGCTGTGACTCGCATCACAGGAAAAAGTTTGCAATCTGATGCCTGATGACTTCTTTCCAGTTCCTGCAGCTGTATTTCGCACCTTACATTTGGTGGACTCGATTCAAAGTGCCTACAATTTATATTACACTCCAACTGAAATCACATGTATTTCTCCTCGAAGCTTCCCAAAGGTCTGTTAGGAAAAGCACATCTAGAATAAAAAATGCACAAGATGCACATGCAGGTATCAGAGGGATGGAAGTACGTGACAGCAGCAATGTGGACAAGGGCGTAAAGACGGGAGAACAAGCCACGTTACCCAGTTTCACTCTGTGCTGCTTCTCTTCCTCACTCCTCAGGAAGCTGTCCAGCGTCCGGAGGTCGGTCATGTAGTCGTTCTTGTCCGTCGGCGAGTTATAGACGGTGGGTGAAGAGCGGTAACGAGCTCGCAGCCCACTGCTCTCCACCGGTCCAACGGTGGCAGGGTACGGCGATGAACCAGCTGATGGGCTGTAGCCTGCCAACTACACATGAGAACAGAATCGGGTTTGTGATACATGCGATGATACATGTGAGGGCGTGAATCAACGAGCTGGGCATCCCCCCGCCCCACCCCAAGAGCAGACGGTCACAGCAGGACCAACGTGCCATCCCACTTATATGAAACAGCGAACAGAGGGACACCGAAGACTGCGAGGTGCCAGGGGGTGATGAGTGAGGGGCGAGGGGAGGGCCAGTTCACGGGCCCACGCCACCAATGCACACGCAAGAGCATGCTGCACTAGCAGCAGTTTGGGTGTATCACTTCTCTCCACGCACAGACAAGGAGCTCCATTTTTCTTTGCCTACAAAAGTAACGCCAAGTGTGTGTGTGTGTGTGTGTGTGTATATAAATCATGTTATTGGGGGCTCATACAACTCATCACAATCCATACATACATCAGTTGTGTAAAGCACCTTTGTACATTCATTGCCTTCAGCCACGTATATTTTAAAAAGAACAAGTATATAAAGGAAATAAGGGACCACCTCTCACCCCGGTCCCTGAAGATATACTTCTTACAGACAACTTAGGGATTTTTCTGATCTTTTAAAACACACACAGCTCTCCCAGTGTAGTTTTGCTTTCACAAAAATCAAGAAAATACTGCTTAGCTATAAGTCCTTTTGAAAAGAAAACATTAACGAAAATAGTTTCCTATTTTTAAAAAACAAAACACCCATGTAAACACTCCTTCCTGGCTGTACAGTGTTTTACTGCACGAATATACCGTCACTTCTGGACACTGAAACTCGCGGCAGGTCTTGGCTCCTGTAAATAACCTTTTAACAGCCACCTCTGTAGGTTAATTGCTGCATGATTTTTTGACGATTTCCGTTAAGGCCGATTGCTTAATAGGAAATGACTGGGTGACAGGTTCTGAGCATTTCCCACGCATACTCCTATATTGCCGAATGAAAACACCGCAGAGCCATCCTCTCAGTTACCGTGGAGGGAAATCTCAGGCTAGAGGTGACCCAATATTAAAGCCTACCTGGAAAGAATCTAGAGAACTTTGCACCAGCTCTCACTATTGTGAGGCAAGGGCTATGGAAGTATTATAGGAAAGGGCAAAAGGCCACCCAGGACATCGGTTTTATCGCAGATGTTCTTCTGCTAACAAGTAGCCAGAGAGAGGTCTGTCCAACCCAAGAGCAAGAACCTTCGAAAAGGTGACGACCTCCCCACGAGTGTCCCTCGAGAGCCACAGGCTCCCGGCAGGAGTCACGTGGTCAAATCTGTTCATGCTACCTCTATTACCAGTCATAACAGAAGTCCATACTGTGGGAGTCGGGGTGAAGTGTCTACTCACCCCACAGACAGGGGTAGGCCAGGCTCAGGAGTCAACCTACACGGTGACCCCGTCTGTAGCTTAGAAAGCAGCCCCCGGGCTGGTAAGCAGCACAGCTGGACACAGTCAAGCAAAGGAGCAGAGGAAGAGGGAAACGTGAGCAGGGACATGAAAGGGCCACGGGCATCTCCAAGACCCTGCTGGACATCTAGGTCAGGGGTTCTCAACCTGGGGGTCGAGACCCCTTTGGGGGTTGAACGACCCTTTCACAGGGTCGCCCGATTCATAAAAGTAGCAAAATGACAGTGATGAAGTAGCAACGAAAATCATTTTATGGTTGGGGGTCACAACATGAGGATCTGTATTAAAGGGTCGGGGCATTAGGAAGGTTGAGAACCGCTGATCTACTAGATGGTCAACGTTAGCTGTGTTCCACTGTTCTCTGTTCATTTTAACATGTGGGGTGAAGAGCTTCCCAGTACCCCAGCTCCTCAATTTCCTCCGCTATAAAAGGAGACATGTCCATGAACACCACTAGGCAATTTTCAAGGCACCTGCCAATTCTAAACTCACGTGACTGGCCAAGAGAAAGGAGTTATTTATTACCTTATTGTAACTACTGATAGGTGAGTAGGTCACTCCTGAGCTGTAGGACCCGCTGCTGCCTGATGACAGACCTTGCAACTGAGGGCTGTATCCAGCCATGCAGCCTGTGGGGAACTTGGGGCTGGTGCTGGGCGAGCGGGAGGGGCTGTAACTCAAGACACTCTGCCCCTGAATTGAAGGTGACGGCTGCGAGGGAGGGATCTGCGCTGCTGCCAGGTCGTGTGGAGGGGTCGTCTGTACAGCTAGGGGTGCAAAACAAAGAAACATCTGAAAACAGACTCAAGGGACGGAGTCAGGTTCTTCAGGAAAACGCAAAGCAATGAGGAGAGTCGGCTGTTAGAGTATTCAATGGTGACTGGATAACCCCACTCAGGGGAGCGAGTGGCAGAACTGTAGGTGGATCTATTGGATGGAGTTAGAAACAGCTAAAAAGATATATATATATCCACACCCATATATAATAGAATAATAATAATATATAACAATGAAAACAAGGGTTCCTGGGGGGGAGGGTAAGGGAGGGGATAAGGGGGAGCTGATATTGAAGAGTTCAAGAAAAGAGAGTGTTTTGAAACTGATTGTGGTAGCAATTGTACAAGTATGCTTGATCTATTTGAATGATGGACTGTTAGGACATTTGTAAGAGCTGCCAATAAAATGATGGGGGGAAAAATCCAACAACACCCCTAAAACTTCTCCCCTATTCTTCTTCCTACTTATCCTTTTCTACTTTCTGAGAACTCACTCCTGCCTTTACTCTGCCAAAACACATATATACATCAAGCGTGCAAATCTTTCCTACTTCTGCCTGTTCTTTGCCCATTCCTTGAACTGACCTCCCTGCAGAGGGAGTTCACACTGCTACTTCCAATTCCGATGCAGCCGGTTTTGTGGTCTCACCGTGAGAACGAGAGGAATGACTAAACGCACTCCCCGAGACGGCTCCGGTCAAGCACAAGCACAGCAGCAGAAGACCCAGGAGGTTTGCTACCGCCAGACTTGGCAGAGACGCAAGGGACTTTTGGCCACTGAGGTCTTAGGTACAGGATAGTTTCAGATTCTTTTTAATAATTATTATCGGGGATGGTTTTATTTCTTTTTTTCAAACTATTTAATCAGGACATCACATCATTCAATAGTTCAGTCATCTCGAGCAGTATTGTACAATTGCTACCACAATCGGTTTCACAGCATTTTCTTCCTTCTTCTACTCCTTGACTACTAGCCCCTATTCCACCTCCACATCCTTCCCAAGAACCCTTATTCCAGTTATTGTCTCTACTGTTAGGAGGACGGAGACTTGATCCGTACAGGTGCAGTATATGTGTAACATGTGGAAGCATGGTGGGAAATGATACCAGTTTATATTGAGGAAGTGCTTTGAAATACTGTACAATGTAAGGAGACCTGAGTAGCAAAACTGGTTACATGTAGGACTGCGAACCAAAAGGTTGACAGGAAATACTGTACAATGTAAACCCGTGTGTGTAAAAGTAAAGCTAATTACTGTCATTGATATCTACCATTTACAATGCTTGACTAATTGCTATGCAGAATGGGTTATGCATATCACAATTATGTATTATTTTTGTTTTTATTCATTTCTAAGTTTCTTAAGGCTAGAATAAAATTCTTCCAAATCTTTGGGGGGAAAAAAGATACAGAGTATTATTAACCAAAAAACACAAATTAGATTTTTACTATTCCCGGAGTTCAAAACACGGAGAACTTGGCTGCAATGCAGTAAGAGCCTTTCTGTGTAATTAGACAATGGGACAGGCTTCTGTGAAGCGAATGAATGTTCATCCTAGTCCACTTATACAAATATGAAAAATAATCTTTGGCTTTAAGACACCTTATTGCGGACCTGCTTAATATATTTTAGCTGGACAGGCCTTTTAGAAGGCCCTTCCAGCTGAGTCTCTGAAAAAGGATAAACAAACTGAGAAAGATTTACTGCCAACCTTTCCCCCCTTTTTTAAGAGTTATAAAACACCTTACCAGCTGTTTTCAACCCTAGAAGTGATTGCTGTCCGGGGCTAACAACCAGACTGGTTGGTGCCACCGTGTATCTGAAATATCTCCAAAAATCAAACAAGGCATTCAGGCTGAAGAGAGATGCAAAGGCAAACTCTGGAAGAGAACAATTTGTTTTATTTGTTTAAAGTGACATTTTTGGGGGGGTGGGAGAGGGGAGAACACGCAAAACCTCACACGTCTGTTAGCAAATGAATACCAGCCAACATCTTTAAAACCACCTCCTTAGTCCTCCAAACAGTTCCAGTTTAATGAGTGTCGAGTACGTGCAGAGTACTCACTAGCGACTGCCCTGGTGGCAAAGTGGTTACACAACAGGCTGCAATCAGCAAGATCAGCAGTTCGAAACCAACAGCTGCTCTGCAGGTAAAAACCACAGTCCAGAGATCCACCGGGGCAGTTCTACCCTGTCCTAACGGGTTGCAGTGAATTGGCCTACACTCAACAGCAGTGAGTTTGATTGTTTTTTTACCAGACTGTGGAATTCACAGTAACACCCATAAAGGCTCTCTACAACCAGGGCCTGTCAAAGTAGAGTGGACAGTGGAGGAGAGGAAATGGAAGGAGCCATCGATGGAGCAGATCCCTGGGCTAGTCTTGAAAGAGACAAGCTTTTCACTCCACAGGGAAGTACAGAGGGCATTTCTGGGAGAGTAACAAATGCAAATCCTACCAGCTCCAAATGTCATTTTTCCTCTGAGAGCTCACAACTACTTGAAGCTTTAGTTTATGAGTTTCATCATCTGTTTCTTCTAGGACAGTAGTTCTCAACCTGTGGGTCTCGACCCCTTTGGGGGTCGAACGACCCTTTCACAGGGGTCACCTAAGACCATTGGAAAACATATACATATTCCACAATATATAGTTACATATTGTTTTGTGATTAATCACTATGCTTTAATTATGTTCAATTTGTAACAATGAAAATACATCCAGCTTATCAGGTATTTACATTATGATTCATAACAGTAGCAAATTAGTTTGTCTCCCCCTCAAAAAAAAATTTATTTATGAAGTAGCAACGAAAATAATTTTATGGTTGAGGGTCACCACAACATGAGGAACTCTATTAAAGGGTGGCAGCATTAAGAAGGGTGAGAACCACTGTTCTAGGGCAATGTTCCTTCCACGAGGCAGGGTTTTATCTTCTTGTTCCCTTCCTGCGATAGGCCCCATCTTTGGAACACCGGCATTTGTTGAATGAAGACATGAATACTGTGCTGAATTAAACTCATTTTTCATACGACGAAAGTAGATCACTTACCAATATACCAGAGGGGCCAGTAAGTCACGTTATAATATGAACTTAGCAACTTCCCCGTCCTGAAATCATTAGAAAGAACTTTATTATGAAAAACAGAAACAAAAAAACACAAAAGACAAAAAACTCATGGCATCAAACACAGACTTCTTAAAGGGTCACCTTGGGTTGCTGGTTAATGAACTTACATTTCCGTGTAGATCATTCCCGCCATGGATACGTTCAGGAGTCCCCAGGCTAAAACCACTTTCCTGGCCTCTCTTTCTTTCCTCATCTTGATGGTTCTGTCAATAAGGGAAGCACTAGGGTTTGGCTCTCCTTGCATCTATTTCAAGGCAAAAAGTTCAGGAATGAATCAAAGACAAGCGCCCCCCGTCTAACCCATCAAACGTTTGTGTCCTCTATAAGGGCAACTAAAAAAAAAGGATATAACCTAGTCCTCGGCCGGTGACATATTCATACAGGAAAAGGAACCCCTAAAGTATGCCTTCACCGCCCTGTCGTGTCATCAACAGATTCCTTCAGAGAACAATTCAATACTTCCAATAAATAAAACATTTTATTTTGTCACCTCGGGATTGGTCGGTCTGCAAGGATCCCCTATTTTATTTCGGCGAGCGGCATTCATCGATGCCACGGGCTCCCCCGCCTTCAGCTGAACGCCGGGGTGCTGCTAAAACGGGGGTCGCCCACGTGGGGCGTGGCGTGAGGGGCCTCGAGCATTGGGGGGCGAGCAGGGTCAGAGCGCGGCATGGGTGCACATTTATATTGATTTTCCCTCTGCTTCCAACTCTTGCGGACGACGAGTGCCCAACTTGCCCCCGACTTCAGGCTCGTGTCCCCGGGGGGCAGGGCCGTCCCCTTCCCGCCGCGTCCACGCTCCCCACCCACGGCGGCGCGAACTGAAGCAGCGCGCCGCGTCCCGGGCCCCCCTTTCACGACGGGCGGCGGGGCGCCAGGCTCCTTTCTCCCGGAGCTGAGTGCCCCGCACGTGGCAGGCGCGGCGCTCACACAGCGCGCGTGGACGCCGCGTCCCAGAAGCACTAAAAGGACCCCGAAAACGCACCATCGTGTTCGGCGGGAAGCCACGGGCTAGAGACGCTCCCAACTGCACATGCGCGGAGCGCAGGGCTCAGGCCCAGGCGGCAGGCGTGCCGGCCTAGAGTTACCGGAAGGAGCGAGTCTCCTCCTCTCGCGAGAAGCAGGAAGTGGGCGGGGGCACGGAGGCTCGGGTCGTTACCAAGGAAACAGCTGGGGGCGGGGCCTGTGCCGCGGCTCAGCTTCTGGGGCGGGAAGTTGGACGTTACATTTCCACCCGCAGTAAAAAGTACTAACTCCGAGAGACTGAGCATGACGTATAGAGATGGGGGCTCTAAAAATTTGTGGAACGTGAAATTCGATGAAAATGTAAAGTTTCCACTCATCCCTCAAAGCCCCCCTAAGTATAAATTGATTAAGACTTTAAAAGTCCCTGGGAAAATGTACTTTTTCCCTCTGTTTTCTCCAGGCCACAACTCTTGCAGACAAGTGTAGAACGTGCCATTAAAAAACAACAAAACACAAACTCGCGTACCACAAAAACATTGAAGTCAGTTTGCATTCTACTTTCCCCCTTTTATACCCACTCAGACCAGTGTTTAGATCTTATGCGGGTAAGGAACCTGGAGGGCTTTAAAGAGGTGACCCTTCTCGCTCAAAACAATTTCAAACTTTCCCCCCTTTTATTTATGCAATATAACACGTACAAAGGAAAACATACTCTGTAATTCCACAGCCCGGGGTAGCTCCTTCCAGGTCTGCACCCCGCTTTTCCGCTCCCAGTCTGACTTCAAAGTCTTCTCCTCGGGCGTGGAAACCAGTTTTCTTTCCCTCTGTCATCACGGAGTCGTGCAATGCGGCTCTTACGAGATGGAGAACTAGCTGAGCGTATGTTCTGCAGTGTTGCCTGTCACGGGCCTTTGCCTCTCCTGGCCTGGTCGAGACGTGCAAGGCGCAGTGTGCTGTACCAGCGTCTATGCATCCGTCCATGTGCGCTGTACCAGCGTCTGTCCATCCTTCCACCGAGCAGTTTGGGGCTGTTTCGAGCTTTTTATGTCTTCCTTTTCAGTTCGCTGGACGCAGCCCCAGGAGGGAGGTGGCGGGAGTAGGCCGTCTCTATTCACATTTTAGGAAGTGCCACGCTGCATTTTTCTCACGGTGCAATCCCGCAATCCCAGGGCGAGGTGCAGCCTTCCGGTCTCTCCACGTCCGCTGCAGCATTTGCTTCTTGTTTTGGGCTGAGTGAGGTGGGGGCTCAGGGACATTTTGATGTTCTCTTCTCCCTCCTGGTTTCGAGTGCGTCTTCGCATGCCTGTGGCTTGCATTGCCAGATCTCTTAGTTCCATGTTGCCACTTCGGAAGCCGCCTCGTTCGCAGGCATGCGTTTCGGTGCCTGGCTGCATTTAAGGCTCTCCAGTGGCACCGTGGCGGGGCAGCGATCCGC